TGTGTGTGTGTGTGTGTGTGTGTGTGTGTGGTGTGTGTGTGTGCGTGTGTGTGTGTGTGTGTGTGTGCAGTAATCTCCATCTGATGGATGTTTATCAACTGACCACCACACTGCACGAGCTAATAAACCGTCCATCTATCTCCACCCAGTTATAGCAGACTCATGATGTTAAAACAAAAAGCATATTTTAAATATATAAACTAATTACATAAGTTGTACTTATTGAGAAGTGAATGTATCGTGTCCTCCTTCACTCAACTGACCGGAGCTGGACCATAGAATTTTCTGAACCATGAGTTGTCAATATATTACTGTACTAAATATGATAGCAACACAGCCCAGCCTCCACCTCCCCCAAGGCTGTATCATGCTGCTCCCCCTCCCAGCGTGGTAACTCTCACACAAAGAAACATTTATTCCCTTTGCTATCAAACCTGAATTGAAGTCCCATTTGTTCTATGTGTCACTTTTGGCAACCTGACCACAACCCAATAAATTCCTACTTAGGTGGATTAGTGTTCTAGGTAGTAAGTGTCTGAACCCAAACATAACCAGTAGACATTTATCTCCTAACAGACCTGAAAATTAATTAATATACTTGTGGTCTTAAAAGGTCTTGAGCAAAAATCCGAGACCATGGATGTCCTAGACCGAGACTGAAACAGACCTGGACCTAACAAAAAATGTTGCCAGACCTGCATGAGTGATTTAGTGCCTAGTTGAGGAGGCAGAGAACAGAACACATATACTTTATACACCAGTGAGAGTGAATAAGGTCAACAACGGAGAAGACTAAAGTACTGTATGTATCTCCCACCTGTTTCTGACCAATAGGCATACTGATGAGAAAAGGCTTGAAAGACAAACTAAATGGAGTTTCCTTTATATTGGTTGTTATATCAGTTTACTAAGTAATAATTGTGTAATGGTTATATATGCCATTGTAACAATACACCTGAATGGTTACCCTCACCTTAACTCTGTAATATTTATTTTTGGTGTTCCTGGTTCTTGATATTGATGATGGCTTCACTGGACACATTAAAGTGTAGATCAGTAGGAGAATCAGCCAGAGATATTCATTTGTATCTGACATGATATATTCCAGCTCCCATGGCCATTATTGCTCTCCAGCTGGCCACAATTTTTGCCCTAAATAACACTTTCCTCATGGCCACAGTGCTGAGCCTCTATTCTGTTTTTGGCCAGTGTCCTGGACCTGACCTCAATAATCTTTGTATAAGATAAACAGTGTGTGTGTGTGTGTGTGTGTGTGTTGGGAATTGATTAGTCTGGAGAATTTTTACTATATAAATACAGTATCTAATAGTTACTGTTTATCACAGCTGTTCACTGAAGATTGTTTTGTAATATTTTCTTTACCTTTATGATATATAAAAGAAAAGGTGGCAACTAATAGGAAAGTAGTAAGTCATTACTGAGTCTTAAATTAACACAGTAATAAACAGACCACTGGCCGGGCCACCATCTCTCTAAGGACTGCTACGCACTCAGTAGGTTGTTGTTCACACATTAAGGTTTATACCATAACTAACATTATATCAACACCAAACTAGTGTACTATACATGTATGCACAACAAAACACTTACATATTTTTTATCCTTATTTCGTTTTAATTAACAAAAGTAATATATAGAGGTCTCTAGGACAAATTTCATACATTGCTTTGGTATTCTTGATGCTTGACGGTGTTGAGACACATTACTATGGAGTTTATTCGTGGGAAGATTTTGCTTGTGCAGTGTACAGAGGAGCCTTGTTTTGTAACATTGAGGCTCAACTTCATAGTGTTTTTGTCCCAGGGAAAATTTCACGCTCGAAAGAGCATGTATTCACACGGGCATGTTTTCACACACTTCAGTTCACCTACGTCTGACAAAGAATAATGACAGGCACTTCCAACACCTGCTAGAGATGCAACAGCTAACACGCAGGAAAATATATGCTTTCGTCAAGTACTCTATTGCTATATGAAAAATTCTAGAGAGCGCTCGACGTGTTTTTTTCACACCATGGTTTGGAAGTACAGGCACAGGGTGAGCGTCTGCTCTGTGTAGACGGTCTCATTTAAACTTAATTAATTTCTAAATCGGGCGGGTCCTCGTAATAGGGAATAAGACACTCGTGTGAAGTGGGCCTGATAGATAGCCCACCAGGTGTAAACCAACTTTGGTCATTGTTTACAAAGTTTATTTATAATTTAATACACCAGAATATTATGTAATGTCTATCATAAACAAGTATATATACAGATAAAAAGTAACAGGTTCATCATCCTTGATTCTCATATGGTCTCAGGTTTAATGTATTTGTACTACAGCACATACAGTACAGTACAGTACAGTACAGTACAGTACAGTACAGTACAGTAGGTATACAATATTATATACTAAAACACCACATTCAGTAAGAAGAGAATAATATGACTGACCCATGAAAGAGTAAGTGTTGTGCATTGAGCATCAATTGGAGTAAATAGTTTCCCCTGAGATTATCACATACAGTATGTAAATTAATATACTGTTTAGTTACAGTGTGTTTTGTGGCCACCATGAATATGTCTTATTTCTTATTCTAATATTGTATCTAATTAAATATGTCATCATCCAGTCGTGTGATTTTTTCCCTATGATTTAAGCCATGTTGTGTGGTCTAGACTGGTTAGGGTTTCATTGATAGATTTTCATGTGTGGACTGGATGACTTGTTAAGTTGTATGGAGGTAGAGAAGACCCATCAGTGTACAGTGACTTGTTGTACTGTGTAGTGATGTATAGCCTGGTGAAGTGTTGGTATGGCCACTCTCCTTAATGCTGTTTATCCTTATGTCTGAGATGTGAGTCATTTAATGGGTCTCCTTGGATGTTTTGTGTCTGTCTTCTATTTCAACTGGATGGCTGATGGATAATGAATAGGTCATGACACCTATTTACCACTTCAGTTTCAGCAGTGTAATAAGAGTAGAGTAGAACCCATATCAAATCCCATGAACCAAGACCATCAGTCACGCTTTGAGATCCTCTTAAGTTAATAAGACTACTGTATACTTGGATATTTGAGCGAGTCTTTTGTTAACTGTTAATTGCCTCCCATAAATACCGGACCTATAGTGGCATCTCTTCTCATCTCATATTATCTCTGTCTACTGTACTGTATACTAAAAGTACATACCTTATCATTCATCATTTTAATACTACAGAACACATATATTAGCCTTAGTATTATTTTTAGTCAGTCACAGAACATTGTATGATAAAGGTTATGAGGCCTCTGTACTGTAGTCAAGAGTTACTAACCTATGAGATATATGTGTGTGTGTGTTTACAGTACAGTCAATGAAATAATTATCGACCACTCTGCCATGCATAACACTATGAAGTAGTTATGGGACTACTGTGAATATCAGCTCCTCCCCTGACTTCTGACCGGGTTAGGGATCCAATCCAGGTAAAGTGAAAATGATTAAATAATACATAGAAAATCTAAAATGGGTGGCTCTTTTCTTCCAGCTTCACAAAACTCTCACTTTTTAGCTTGCCAGCCATTTTAAAGTTAATTACAAACGAAAATTTTGTCAGTACAGTGGTCCTAGGTTATGAATTACCTTCCATAAGAATATTCAATTCGATTAACGAAAAAAATTCGGTTAACGAATTCCTCTCAAAATGTTTTAGCCTGCTCACCAGCTGGAATATTAGGGCTTAAATTCGTGACCATTTGAGTAAATATCAAGAAGGTTGTACTATTCAATAATTTTCCAAGTCTTATATTAAAATTTTTAGTCATTTTAACAATTATTTAACATAATTGAAGTACAGGAAACTAGTTTTTAGTGCGCCAAACAGCCACTCAACTCACCAAACAGGCGTCAGTTTGTATCACTGGTCAGTAGACTCTCTTGAACATAAACTATTTTTACGTTTTTACAGTACAATTATTGGTCATTCTGAAATTTATTTAACATATTGATAATATATAGTGCAGTGCAGTGTTGATTTAAAGAAAATAATCTTGAATTACACCAAGTGAATTTAAAATTTTATGGGTGAAATGATGTCATGAAGCATGGGGTGATTTCTTTTCCACCCCCACTTCCATTTCTTCTCCCTTCTCCTCCACCCCTACAAATAATTCCCATCATCATCATCATCAACCAGGAGCCTTCTACATACACACCTCAAAGTAAGTGTACTTTGCTGCATTTATTTTTACTTTGTATGTAATTTTCGGTGAGCTGGAATCAATTACCCAAAATCCCATTGAAACAATGGTTTCAGTTAACGAACGACCTTCTGGAACGAATTGTGTTCGTTAACCGAGGGACCACTGTACACAGCGCAATCACTGATGTTGGGACTCGAAAATACATAATTTGAAAAAAATTTTGGTACGACTGAGGCAGGTCGTAGGTCGTAAGTCGGGAGAGCTGTATCCACTACCTGTGGTTACCTGTGTTAGTTGGTTATCGCTCGTTCTGTTCCATCGAGCTTGGGGCGGTCGATACATATTTCACTGACTGTACTGTACACGCTTACTCTTTCTGATTTCCATCCATGATACAGTACTTTATTTGATGGGTGTACAAAAGTGCTCAGGCTGTGGAATATGGCTAATAGGTGTATTGTTATATCTGTTCTGTACTTGTGGTTAAAGTCAGATATTATGACGTGTTGGCTTTAAGATAAACACCCACACTATGACAAGGTTCCTCTGTATAATAATTGTGGCAGGGATGGCATGTGTAATATTAATGTTATATTTTTGTCATATTTAATTGCCTACTTAAATACCTGTAGTATTAAATTCATATGACTAAAAAAAAAAAACGTAATACTTTTCTGATCTTGTGTTGTCCAAATTCTTCACTTTCTGTTTACTGTCTTGTGTGGGTAAAAGGCGATTTTCATAGGCTCTTAATAGTACAGTCATTGTGCCTACAGTATTGGCAGCTTCTGATAGCATTTGTCTCATCTTTGCAGTCATGCTATGTATCTGACCTGTTCCCGCCTCATTTACTACCAACTGCAGTTAGTAAGGGCCAGACCGTCTTCCTTCAAGATCGTCGTTATATCGGAAACGAGAACGAGACCAATACCGCTCGTACAAACTTAGACGACTGAAGTCGTTAAAAGAGGAAAAGGTATTTAACAACGCGAGATGGACTTATGACTTTGGGATCTGGGTTTTAACTTTACAGCCAGGCCAGAAAAATTGTCAACATACATTTGTTTGTGCTTTTGCTGAGGACAGAAGAGTAAGTTGGGTAATGAGAAACTGTTAAGATAATTTTACTACAAAGATATGTTCAGTTCTATAAAATTACCACCAAAAATTGATGAATGAAATTTGAAGAGAATTTATTACAGTTACACCTTTTGATTATAAACCATCAAGTGTCAGTGTTTCTCAGATGTTATCAAGTTTGTTATAGTTATTTTGGGGTGCTCTAACCCTCGTCCAGTCTGGCTGTACAGTAAGTGTAACGGAAAATTAAATGTCTTGCCGAAAGATTAAAGTCAATTAGACTTCAGATTTTGAGGTTGTACAAAAAGTCTTCAGTTGTAAAATATAAATACAAGAGATTGATGTTGTAGAATATTGTATAGAAATAATAAAAAGGGGGAAGGTAAGTAACAAAAATCCAGAGTTTGGTGTATAGAAAGTAACATCATCAGGTTGTCCTCAAAGGTTTAGTTTAATTTAGACATCTTAGGATTGAACACCATTTACCTTACAATAATTTAATCTCATTTAATGGTTGAGAGATTTTGTTGTTTTAATAAGTTATTGTATTTGAGTTGATGTAACAATGAATTTCATAGTTTTTTTTATTGTATGTAGTTATATATTGTATGAGGCTTTTATTGTTTGTATATGGCAGGACTGTTACAAACACTTCGAGTTTTTTTAAGCAGGGTTACTATACTACTGGTCGACCCAACAAACACGGTTGTTGTAGCCTTTATATTACTCAAAACTTTTATTGTATGAAGACTAAAAATTATATACATTACCAGTTCTAAGACAGGTTGTCCCATTATCTTATTCAACTACAGCATAAAAACTGCTGGTTGTAGATTTAAGACCTAATATATATCCTTGTCCCAGAAAACTCCAGGGAAATAAAACAAAAATATGAGTCTGCCAAAAGTGTAGGAACCCCGAGTACTGAAATTCGTTCATATACTTTTTGTGTTTAACATTTTTAGGTTTAATTACAATTATATTATTTTAAGGTAATTTTAAGCACGGATAACTAGAGGTAATAGTGATTTAGTGTTTTAACTAGAGGCCTTTAAAATGTATAGAGAATTACTGATAGATTGACAAAACTATTTTGTGGATGTACAGGGTGTCCCAAAAGGTTCATGTTCATATACAGTATTGATGGTAATGAAGAACAGCCTTTAGAATGAGTGAAGTAAAATGAGAAACATTCTGAGGGGATGAAGTGCAGGGATTGATACTGTGTCTGTATTTTTGTTCATCATCAATATTTTACAGCCACATTTACACAGGTGAGCCACAATTACCTGAAGGTTGCTGTTAGGTATAACCAGTGTAAATTTTTGATGAAGTAAAGGTACATGTTGAGTTTTGCATTCTGGTGATGATGGACTTTTGAGCCACCCGGCACAATTTTGTATATAGTTTGTGTTTTGATGAAGGTTCAATAATTTATTTACACATTTAGTTTTTCTTGGCATTAATAGTTTAGAAATCTATATTTTAATCCAATTTTTGGCTGACCTGTACCAGAAAGAGACTTTGTGTCAGGAATACTGTTCAGTAGTTCCAGATTTCTGAGTGTTTGTCTGTGTAGGCTTTTAATGTTGTAGGCATGAGACGGCCTCAGTGTTTAAGTTATTTTTATGGAACTTATCAGGTAAAGTCTTAGATGGGGTAGTCTGACCACATGGAAAATGTGACAGTCACACTGAGACTAAAGTAAACAGATATTGGTACTTTTCTCCAGCTTTAATGGTACTGTGCTGTGCTGTACTGTGCTGTGCTGTACTGTACTGTACTGTACTGTGCTGTACTGTGCTTTACTGTATGGAATTTGGGAAAGATTGAGAGTAAAACTGTAGCTATCCACTGTGGCAGTAGAGGACTTATTTGTACAAGAAGAAAATTGTGTATAATAAGAAGAGAAACAACAACTAGACACAGGAAACACTGGATTATTTCTGTGAAGAAAAAAGTCTGTCAACTTTAAATACTGGTAAATGAAGCAGTGTCTTAGACAGGAAATTATAAAACTAAAAAGAGAAATGTCAAATTTGGGTATATGAAACAAGCTGTCAGAATGTCAGATAGGAGAAGTGTGTTATGAGTGCCCATACTGTACAGGACTATAGCCATCAGTTAAAGAGAGGAGAGACTCTACACTACTTTAATAGGCAACAATTGTCAACTAATCTGCTACATAAAAGCTATATTATTATTAACAGCTGTGGGTAGTGTGTATAAGAAGATAATTTCTTGGCATTCATAATGAATATTGTACTGTACATGGGAGGCTCCTGGAGCATCATAGTCTCTTCTGGTGCCATTTAATGTATGTAGGTCATCCACATTAAAAACAAACTGTTTCACCGATGAAGTTTGTGGCAGGGCTTTCTGAATCAACACGTACTGTGTACTTTTACCTGCCGTACCTACGGTAAATATGTGAAAGTTACCGGCTGAAAGGCATTACTGTATCTTAACCTTGTACTCATCGGCCATTCTTAAAGACGTCTCCTGGTTACCGACAAGTACTTCCGGCACTAGACATTTTGATGTATTTCAGAGATGAATATTTTATTTCACGTGTTTTATGGTAAATATATTACTTTGCAAGCTGTGTCTTATCAAGTTTGTTTTTGTGAATTTTTTTGTCTAATAAAATTTTCCTTAACATAAAAAAAAATATTAATATGCTTAGGATTTTTATTTAATCTTTTTTGAGACATTATTTATGAACTGTGACAGTCAGTAGGTGTAGCCATAGTTCTTCAAGGCAAAGTGTCATTCTATGATTTTCTTCTTCTTAAGTTTTTAATAAACACTGAGAGGAGTCAGTGACATTTGATGCATTAAGCCCTTCACCCATGGTATGTACAGTGCTGTATTAACACATTCTTAAGTATGGTACAGGGGGTCCTTATTATAAGTGGTTAATAGGAACCAGAAAAAAACACTGATAATGAAACCAATTATAAAGGGAAATTAATTCCCATAAGAATTAATAGGAATAGTCTAATTGGGATGATCACATTGTAAGGGAAACTCATAAAGTTTAATTTGGTATCTTTAAACATTTATATATACCCTTATAAACAATGAGATGCAAGCTGTCGAACCACGCACTCACATACTCATCTAAGTGATTGTGGTTCATTGAGACACAGTCACCCATAACTACTAGCCACTACACCACCTTGCTTCTCTTTCGAACTGATGACTACAAAAATAATCCACCAAAGACACAACAAAGTTAATAATTATACTTCTTGGAGCACTTCAAAATTGTGCAGGAGAGAAGGATGACCTTTAAGAGAATGGGAGGTGAGCAGCAATTTCAATCACTCAAACACTTTTGCTCCTGATGATCAACGGATTTCGTCGTTAGAATCCTTTTAACTTCGGGGACTTTTTACGTGTAGGCCCACAATTATTTGACCAGTTATAATGAAGATGCTTATAGCAGGACCCCCTGTATATATAAACAGAGCCAATTTAGGTTTGTGGTAAAGAAGTGAGTCCAAGCAACTAATGTATTTTTAGTAAATCTTTGGCAAAAAATAATATATTGAAATGCATAATTTTTACAGATTTTCTTAAGGTTTTATAAAACAAAATTACAGAAGTTTTATCCATATATATATATATATATATATATATATATATATATATATATATATATATATATATATATATATATATATATATATATATATATATATATATATATATATATATATATATATATATATATATATATATATATATATATATATATATATATGGATAAGATAAATCTTGATAAAGTCACACGGGGAAAAGGGAAACAACGGAGCACCTTAACTTTCGTCTTTATTCAAGACATCTTCAGAAGCAACTGGATTACATGGACAGAGAGAGAGACTTAAATATACAGGGTGACCTTGTTAAACATGAGGTCAGGTCATAATGATGTCATCCACTAATCCTCACACCAACACACATGTAGAGGAGCTTAAGAGAAAGGGGGCGATGTGACTAGTCAGGTCAGATCAGGTAAAAAATAAGGGACCCACTAAATAACTATCCTACATCTAGCTCCAAGGTTTTCAAAGCATTTTCAACCTTGGGCCACTGACAAATAAATTTATGTAACATATTATCAGTTTTGGACTGACCATTACTTAGGTTTATTGATTTTAATTCCTTAATCAAACTAGCTTCAACCAGAAGTCTTTCTGTGATGCAAGATTTTTTGAACACCTCTAAGCTTTTTTCCCAAGCAATGGGATGATTATTATTCCTAACATGAACGAACAGGGCACTGCTTTCAGATGCTGTTCTGTATTGTACTTATGTTGTTTGATTCTGAGCTGCAATGTTTTTCCTGTCTTGAATAAAGACGAAAGCTAAGGTGCTCCGTTGTTTCCCTTTTCCCCGTGTGATTTTATCAATATATATATATATATATATATATATATATATATATATATATATATATATATATATATATATATATATATATATATATATATATATATATATATATATATATATATATATATATATATAAATAAGAGGTGGACACATTCAAAATACAGGTATACTGTAACTACACATTCTGGATACAATGAAGTTATATAAATAAATCTACGAGGTCTGGATATTTATTCAAGAAACATTTATGTATTCTGGATGTACTGTAGAGGCGTCTCTTGCTTTATGAGTATGGTAGGGTCCTTGAAAACCATTAATTTAATATTTATATCAGACTTGGGGACATAGCCAAGACTCCACAAAGTCATTAGAATGTCACCAATTTGAAGCCAGACATGTAAAAGGTCATTAAGCCAAATCTAAAGCTTTTCAAGGCTTCATGAAACCTTAATACCATTATTTATATAACACAATACTGTATTACCTTATGTTGATTGTAATATGTATGGTATTCTGAGTTGCAACAAGACTTTGAAATAAGCTGAGTTTAAGCTGACTGTTGTTGGGGTAACTTTTAACTCTCCCTTGGCTGAAGAGGAGTTATTTATAGTAACAAATTACCTTTCTAAATTATTTTATCCACAATACATAAACATAGTAAGTTACTCACATATCACAGAGAAGCATCGGGATGAATTATCATAAGATTTCCAAAGGTACAAAGTGAGCTAATGTTCGGGTCACAACTGCTTAGTATCTTTGATCTCTTCCAACACTGAGGTCAGGTCCTTGTGAGACTACACCTGTAGGAATAATATGTGATATCAGTGTGGCTCTCAGTTCATGTAAAGTCAGATCAAGGTCACATTGTCACCACACACTTCACCTGACCTCCTCTGATGTTGACCCTCCCTAGCACTACCCGAGGTAGAGATTCTGACCTGATTGACCTGTGATAATATGTTCTTGTGTCAGCACTGGTCACTGACATGCTGGTCAGTAATTTAGGTGCCTACACGACAACCCATGTCACTTGTCAAGTCAGGTCAAAATGACGCTGCCTTGTATCCACCACTAATATGATATACAGCGGGGTATGCTATAACGAACGGATCCTACTACGAATATTCCTATAACGAACGGTTTTACCTATAAAATTGAGAATGCTATAACGAACAAAACTCCTACGACGAACAATTTTTTTTTTGTATTGTTTTTTTTACTAATTTATTGTTTTTTTATTACAAGTATTAATGATATTGGTTATTTCAGGGGTTTAGATGCATATTTATGCACTTTTTTACAATTTTTACAATTCTATATTATATTTTTCAGTGTTAAGTGGTTGTATTTGGGGGCCTGGAACGGATTAATCCTATAACGAACAAATGCTATAACGAACAAGGTTCTAGAACCAATTAGATTCGTTATAGCATACCCCACTGTATTTAATTAATATGATCGAAATACAATTATACACTGTACTGTAATACGGTCAGTGTGTCTGCGTAAAGGTGAAAATCCAAAGCCAGGCCTGTGGCTTTCAAGCCGAAACTGGTGCAGTGCATCTGGCTTTGAAGCCAAAGACTTTAGAAAGTTTTGAAGCTGAAGCCAAGTCCAAAAAGAAGGGTTCAGTTCCCCATTGACAAGACCCCAATATTGTATCTAATAATAATTAAATCAGTTCACAAACAACAACTAACTACAGTACTGTAATATAGCGCCTGACACATTAAAAAAAAAATAATAATATAAATTTGGTAAATTACCTTAAGGGACCATATAAGTGAGAAGAGCTTTCGTATAATAAGAAAGAGGTGTAACACAAACTTTAGTGTCTCATATGGTCATACAGCGAGGGCCGCCTGTACTGTATATTCAATAGACTGTGGGTCTGTCTTTTATATGGTGTATATTAGTGTCAATTTTTATTAATGTTACTGTATCAGTCTGCATGTGATATTATGGTGCTTGTCTTAATATAGTACTTGGGAGTGTTTACAAAGGATAATTATCAGGAACATTAGGAATAACATTTGGCAGCATATTAACTCAATTTATTTTATATGTCATTGTCTTACATTATCCCAGAAGTGTTTGGTTAAATTTGCATCACTCGGGTATAATGAAGACCACATTATTTTTGTTGTTGGAAAGTTGTTTTTATCATTAAGGTTTGATCAGAGAAGAACAAATGTACATAGAGTACGTACACATAATGGCCAGTACGATACTTTACTGTACTCTGAATGATATTATAGTTTGTTCTAATTTAGGAGTAAGTAAAACACTTTATTTCAACTCGCAAGAGTCAAAGATGTAGGGTAAGAAGAAAGGTTCTTATTTGTAGTGAGTTATTTCTAACAATAGTTCAGATATCACTGTTCAATGTGTCACAGATGTCTGCCAGCAGCTGTAACATGACTGCCCACCATTTACAAACAATGAGGGTTTAATACTACCTAAGTTAAGCTCACTCACAAACTTAGTTATGATGTAAATTTATTAATATTAACTTTAATTGGTTAAATGGTCACATTATTTTGTACTGGTCCATCAACTACTTCCATAACCTCACCTCACCTAAGCAGGTGTAAGACAGAACTTATAAGGTACAGTTGATACTTCACTCTAAGCTTATCTAACAAAGGTAATTATTAATATGTTATGCATAGCATTTTATAATAAACATCCTCATCAAAATATAATTATTGTAGTCACAGATTTCTACCTTTCCAGGATTATTATGCATGATGTTTGATAAAGTCTGTTGCAGAATCCTAAGAGAGAACATAGCAACTAGATGAGAAGGACATGATTGTTTTCTTCCTCTTATCAAAACTGTAAACTGTATTGTATATTTTTGGAAATGTCTAGAATGTTGTTATTCACTTATGGTATTGCATTAATACAACATTCTTATTGGTTTTGGAGTAAGATGTTATACTCTTGCATGTAGTACTGTATCTAATGAATTTCTCCGGTCCTCTGGAGTTTGTTATTACAATAATCAAAATGAAACATTATCAGGTTTTGGTGCAAAAAGAAATGGTTTTATTTGCAGCAATTTTTTCAAAGTAAAACTTATCACCACATCATAATGTGTTACTAAACTTACCTCTGTGTAATTGAAATGTTTTCAATTTGATGAAGCTGCACTTAACATATACTGATGGGAGCTCTACCATACCCCAGTAACTGCAAGGGAATTATGAATATATTTCATAAAGAATAATTTAGATTTTTTCTCTCAATGCTGTAACATGTTTGTGAGGCTTACTATTGTAACTCCAATATAAATGTGGCTTACTGTGACCGGGTCACATGGTCAGTCCTCTCTCTGTCCATCTGGCTATAAAATTATCTCTATACAGTACAGTACAGTACAGAACCTCAAACTACACAACTGCAGGATAATTGG